CTCCCCGGACCCCCCCCCCGCCCCCACGCAGTGTGTACCTCATCGTACATCAAGGTTTTCTGGACAATCTTAGCGTAGCAGGTTTTATTTCGATATCTTTTCATGGATATCCTTTCTATAAAACCACAACACCCTACATATCTTTTTCGGTACTGGTCACGACAATTTTTCGGGCATTAAATATGGGCGATTGATTTCCACGTAAGTGAATACATGTGAATACACGTAGGGCAGATAAAATGTGAAACGAAGTTAAACCCAAACGATTTAAGTCGTTCAGCTTGAGGGTACATATCTATTTAGTCTCAAATCATTGAGAAATGGAACAATATCTGGACGTAATACAGCAATTTCTTTATTTTTAAGTTCACATCGATGTACAACTGAGAGAACCAAAATTATTTCAAAATTCTTTGGAGTTACGACGGGCTGTACTTTTGGATTCCACATTCTACCTTCGGAGGTATCATAATTTTTACACATGCAATTATCAAGAAACTTTGCTTAATCAAATAACTTATATTGGAGTGTGTATGATTGCCTATATTGAGCACCATGAAAAACCATTACAAACAGTTCTGTCGTATTCGCAGTAGGCCAATTATGTAATAATCTTGTCAGTGACAGATTGCGGGTGACGTTGTGTGTTTTCGTTTTAGGAACAGGAAGCCGGTTGGCCGTTCATGCAACCCAGATGGTTCTGCTTCCACTGCTTGCAACTCTGTTCAATTAATCGTCCCACCGCCCCACTCAGAAAGTTTACACAACTAATTTTCAAAGATTCTAGAAACTTATGTTGCCCGTGGGAGTCTTCCATAAAACAGCTGACGTTCTGAACATCTCTTTATCAGAAATTGTGCCTGCTACTCTAACGACGATTCTCCACCATTTGCTAAAGATATGACCAATGCTTGTAATCCTACCAACACCCTGTACCAAACTTTTTGTGAAAATTTTACAATAACTTGTGTATAACAAAGGCTTCTGAAGCTTGTTTGTTCTCATTTAACATCAGAGTGTGTGTGTTTCGTCCGCAGCTCTGAGTCTAGCGCACTTAGTTGTTCTGCATCATCGAAAACTCTCTAAGAGATTCAGGGCTGTCACTGTCTCACTGGACCTCACACTGAAGATATCACCTCGATTGGTGATGAAATGTTCGCAATTCAACTGCCAAGCTCGACTAACACACCAACAAACAAGTTGCTTCGATTTCCGATAACTTGATTTTTTAAACACAAGATTGGTGAACCAAGATAGAGGTTAAAATGAGAATTTGGTCAAGACAATCTGTCCCCCTCAGATAGGTCCAAATCAGGCAGTGGTGAGGCGGAGTGAAACAAGAAATAAACATCGCGCTCATTGCCTCAGTGTTTCGTCCGCAGCTCTGAGTCTAGCGCACTTAGTTGTTCTGCTTCATCGAAAACTCTCTAAGAGATTCAGGGCTGTCACTGTCTCACTGGACCTCACACTGAAGATATCACCTCGATTGGTGATGAAATGTTCGCAATTCAACTGCCAAGCTCGACTAACACACCAACAAACAAGTTGCTTCGATTCCGATAACTGTGATTGATTTTTTAAACACAAGATTGGTGACCCAAGATAGAGGTTAAAATGAGAATTTTGTCAAGACAATCTGTCCCCCTCAGATAGGTCCAAATCAGGCAGTGGTGAGGCGGAGTGAAACAACAAATAACCATCGCGCGCGTTGCCTCAGAAAGTAAAAACCTTGATTTGAATATAACTGTCCTTACAAAATTCAGACGGTACCAGCAAAAGATTACCCACATATGTGGTTCCGGATGAGCCCCGAAGAAACACGATATGAGGGAGCGTGTACAAAGGAGCGAGCGCTTATGGTATACAGGAATGGTTTCACAGACTTGTCTCAGATAATTTCGAGTCTCACCGGGATGGGAGTTTTCGAGAAATTCTGGAAAACGTATTCTATTCGTTTTACATACCAGTTCGGGTTATTCACTTTTGTGTGCGAAATATTTTGTCAAACGTTTGTGCAAATTACAGAAATGTAATCACCAAGTAGGTATATCACCTGATATGATTTGTTTTATATTTGGTATATACACCCACATGAGCTTTCTTGATTTTTACTAGGAGTTAATGAATTCTTGTGTTACGCCTTGGACTTAATTCCATAGAACTATCTTGGCTGAAAACGATATATACCTTCAGTATGCCAATCTGTGAAGACGCAGATCAGAAGTTCATCAAGCTGAGTGGAAAAAACTGAGAGTGTAGCATTTGAAGATGTAGATCCGGAAAATGATTTCGTGGTTTTATTGAAAACACGAACTCAAGTATATCGTATCATGTAATCAGTGGATGTAAAACGTTTTTCACACGGTTAATAAGTGGAATGATTCGCCTACCTTACACTCGGTGACTGCGAATAACCTGACGCAATTTAGTCTTCAGACTTTAACCTGTTAAACATGTGGGTTGATTCAGAAGACCCACCACTCCTCGAAATTGGTCTGACTGGGTGGGCGCATTGAGAGTAACGCATCAGCTTACCTGGTCTTTTTACATAGGGCTAGGAAACATTCGACTTTTTATTGTCAGTTCATCAGCTAAGTTCGACGGCTAATGGGGAAGAACGATCTACTCATTCCCTTGGATTGTCTAAACGAGTCAAAGAGGTCGAAATAAAGTTTCGTGCCAAACTGAGTTTCCCAATTTTTTCAACGTTGTCAGTGCACACGTGTTCATGCAATGTGAATCTATCAACCAGCTGTTTGGTAACTGTTAAATAAGTATCCAGTAGCGCTCACTAAATGACAAACTTGTTGAGACATATTTGTTTATCAGATATGTTGAATTTTTATCGTTCAATCGCGTTACGTCATATTGGTTGATCACAAAGTTCAACTGAATTCACCAAATCAATAAATGAATTGAAAACTCAACGAAGAAAGGACCATAGACAGGAGTTTTGCGTATATTATGAATAAACTTATACGTATACGCACAGGAGTCGAATTTGAATAGCACACTAAAACAAATATTCTGGCCTACGTAACTGCCTGGCCACATTCTTCGCGGTATTACACTTTTGGAATAAAAGTAAACATCTTGTACTTTGGAAAACACTACCAATTTACCGCAGTATGCCTCACAAGATACACTGCTCCTCAGAAAGGAAGGGGATACTAATTAGGATGTCAATTTTAACTTCCGCTATACGGGTTGTTCATACTGCATTTGGACTGACGTATGGGCTAAGGCTAGGAGTCCGATCAGAACAATTAGTATGGGCCTCATTCGCTCCGAAGTTCAGTGGTCTTTTTTTATTTACTACACATATTACGGTTTGGCTGATGCGACCCCTCGCAACGAGATTGCTTGTCATGCGTCGGTCTTGGCCTCAGCAAGTCCGCTTGCCTCAAAACCCCGGTAAATCTTGAAACCATCATTCAAGCCTCTATGGTCTGTCTACCCCTTCCACACATTTGGTTCTCTTAAACTTGTCAGACCGCCAATAGCGACTTATCTGAAGGCTCCCTATTGAGGAATGACTGGTTCACTCACCACCATTTGCCGTTAACTGCAGTATCCTTGCACTTAACTCGGTTACCATGGTGAGGGGAAACACAAAATCGTTCTTCAAATTGTGGCGCGCATTTCGCCTGGAAACATTTCCACTGAAACCAACCAGACAACAACCTGCTTCTTCAAATATGCTGGATGCATTTTCTGTGGGCATGCTACTTCGCCTATACGGGGTTTCAAGACCCAGTTACGGTTGTTGAGCTTACCACCTCATCGGTTTCCTCTCGCCTTCTGTTGTTCAACGCCATTGACTCAGGAGCCACCGCTTCTGATTCTGCTCTGGTTGAAATCTTCTAAAATTCGCGGACTACAGGGCCTCAGCTTGTTTCTGGCCTTCTGATAGTCAAAATCACTTGTTTCGTTTGGCCGATTCTGGTAAACGCACCGATAAACGCTGCCTGTTAAATATATCCGCTCACGTTCGAACACGCTGCAGCCCAGTTACACGTACGCAATATTGATAAGGTTTTGAGGAGTACATTATGGTAGGTTAATAGTTCTATTAAAGTTCTGTTTGCCAGATACATAGATGCGCAGTTACGCAGGCTTGTTGGCGATCAAGCTAATTTGTCGTTTTGTAGGCATGTTCATTGAGGGACTCCTGCTGCACTTACCTGATGCAGTAATACTACAAACAAGGGATTCAGATGGACTCAGTCGAGCCTCCCCTTGAGAAAAATTGGCGTGTGAATGCGTGCATATCGTGAACCATAATTAAGGTTATGGAACCGAATCGATTGTGAATTTACGGGCTAACGTTCAAAAACAAAGCTTTAGTCTACTTGCGAGTAGTCAGAATGCAGAAATGTGAAACCTGGTCTATTCAATTGGCTGCAGGTCGAGATGGTTGTATGTTGTATGTTCTCGGCTCAGTGGAGTAGGCACACTTATTGTAGTCTATTCACGCTTACTCCCTACAGACCTTTTTCCGTGATCTTTTCGTACCATGAAGGGGGACTGTCACTGTGCCCATGATTTGTGGCAGTCAGCCGGACGGATGAGGTCTAGCTCAAGTAACATACATTACACACAAAATGCATCGCGATATTTCACTTTCGCCGTGTGTCACACGAGACCATCTGAGTTATTAGGCGGATGTAAGCGGTCGATTATTTAGTGTTGCCGCCGTGAGCTTAACGAATATCTTATCTAAAAGCGGTTATTCAGGATGCGTCGCCCGTATGTCGCATATATTCTATGGATTCTTACAGTCTTCTGCTAATAAACCGAATGTTTAAATACTGACCTGCAGGCGACTATTACGCCTTACCTTGTTATTTTCCACTTATTTTTGCAGTGTAACTTGCATGCTTACATTTGAATAGCATCACATTCATGCTTTCCTTAATCGACACGTAGGTTATCGTGCGTCAAATTATTAATACCACTGATTATGTAGAATTTAGTTCATTTTTGTAGTACATTTTAGTGGTGAATTGTAGTACATTTTCTTGTTGATGTAATATTGTACGTGGTTGATTTGTTCTGTTTAGTATCAACGTAGCTAAATACTTAATAATTGTGCTTCTCTGAAACAGATTACCCATTGCACCAGCATATAAGTGTATTCGTTAGAACGCACTTTAAGTGTGTTCGTGCCTACTTCGTGATCAGCAGAACCCTGGCAATTCTATGACTAAGTGCAGGCATTTGTCCCACGGGGACCTGTTAATCGGGATTTACCCTCAAGTTTTCCTGATAAATTACATGTTGGATATCTGTTGGTTGCGCGCATAGGTCACGACCATATAACCGAAACAACCACCAACTCGACGGATTCGGACATGGTCATTCCGTTCAGACGAATAAATGGGAGCCAAATTTTGTTCTAACAAAAGTTCCGCAGGCTGAATTAATGAAGACCACCAACTTTCCCTTGGATGCGCCACGCGTTGAAGTGTTTGACATCTGGAAAGATTGATTTTTTTGCATTGTTTCTTTCGACGTGAGACCTGATATCCAACGCGGAGTTTTCCCTATGCTTGCCTGCAGATATAATTCTTCTTTGAGTGATTTTCAAACCCTGGATGCAGAATCCATTTGTTCAACGGTTTCGTGATTGAGCATGACTTCGGGCTGCACAGAACGTCAAAATCTGTTGACATGATATTATTATGTGTCAAGATGTGTTTTGGCGCTAGAACAGCATATCGCCTAGATCACAATCTGTCACTACGCATTCCGGACAGTCGGTGAGTGGACGGAGCTTACTACAATGACTTAGTAGCATGAGACTAGCGGAACGGGTGTGAAATTGTTCGGAGCGGAAACATTGCCATAGACTGGAGAAGAACGAACAAAGCGAGTGACCATATTATGCCATTCAGCCACCCTATATATTTACATACTAGCTTTGTATATTTTGACCTGACTTGGCAGCACAACCGTGTCCCAGTTATTCTGTCTTCCCATCACCGCTTGACCTGGAAGGCCCGATTCAGGTATAGCATTAGGCAGTCCCCCGGTTCAACAGTATGCGAATTAGCTTATTTAATCAATGTTTGCTTCTTCGGTTGGGGGTTAGGAAATTTAATGATATCGTCAGGTAAATCTATCCGACTGAAGGTGAGATAAATTTGGCATGGCCGAATTTTGGAGGTTGGATGCCTGGTTTTTCGTTTTGGAACGTTTACTTATTAAATCATCATTGCCAAAGTCTTGTACGGTGGCCTACACTTTTAGCAACATCCTACTTTGTCTTCAAGATGGATGCCTTCAAAACACTTGTTTTATAAGCCTGCCCGATGCTTTATCCAGTGCGGTAGTTTTCGGCTTTTCAACTTTTATTGGGAATCATTTGCAGTGCGACTACCGTGAATATCCAGTGTTTCAAATTCAGACTAATTCAAGTAGGTAATCAATCTGGCCCGAAAGCCAGTCCAGCGCATACCATGTTGTTCAGATATAAACTGGACACACTCACCAAAAGTGAAAACGGTTAGTGAGTTGTCTAAAAACAGCTAAAAGATGCCTGCTGACATCCATAATCGTCCCATGGCAACAGTCACATTTTGACAAGAGTAAAATTTTTTCAACGTGATGGCCTTACGTAAACTTGCGTTGTCTGTTGCTGAGTAGCAAACTGTTGTGCGGGTTTTTGTATACTCCCCTCTAATTTCTAATCCACTTTGTAAAAGGAGTAAACCTTGGTGTGCATAGCGTCGATGTTTTGCGAAAAATCTCCTAAGACATAACTTTCTGATACCGGTCACGCCCCAACAGGAATCGTTTTGGTCAACGTACAACCCCTGACTGTGTAACGATCCCAACCATACGATATAATTACACGCATTGAGTCATGTAACACCGGACCGAGCGATCCAGACCAAGCTTTCTATCACTCGACCGAGTTCTGAAAGGCTTTGACGCAATGTCTTGTTGTCTACTGGCTTCGCCTATAGACTCGACAGAAAGTGTGCAATTTCAATTTTTATTGTGTATATTCAAGACACTTGCCGCTTCCTTACCGCGTAAACCGATGAATTTGAACCAAGAATGATGAAGAGACTTCCAAACTATTGGTAGAAAGTACTCTTGAGTAGGACTTTTAAGCTGAAATTTTTCCTTTTTTACCAGTATGATTATAGGGTAGGCTTTTCTAGGCGAGATATGTTACGACACACTAATCAAAATAGGGTAATGTCTATCAGGTTATTGGCATGCTCACTGAAAATTTCGACAACGTTAGCTCAGCACCAATGAGAGAGGGTTAGCTCAAGCAATTCAAGTGTGTCTTAGTATAGTAAGTTTGTGAAAGAAATTCCTCACTTCGTTTTTATCGACCGAGTGTACAGGAGTCGTTTTCAGCGCGCTATCATGGTCTGATATTCCAGGCTGAGTATGTTTTGTCCGTTCACAAAGAAATGAATCGGAATAACGTTTGTGTGATTCTGTCTACTATACTGTTCCCTTCAATCAGAAGCGTGAAGTGTGTCTTGACGGCTGCATAATGACTTGATTTCTTCAAAATATCTTCTTAGTAAAGGGCTCAATGGGTTTAAGTCTAGTAGCTGAGTGTTTTACAATGACTGGGGATGAATATAGTAGAGCGATAAGACGCTCTATCGTCTTCTCTGCGCAACATGTTCATTCCAGCTACAGAATTTGAGTGCTATATGGATCGGTTGAGACATTTTAAAAAGTGATGAATCATCTTAAGAGTTAGAATCATAACTCCTTATTTCACCAGAGCTCCAGTAATGCAAACGCATTGGTACTTATTGACCGTAAATCTCCTTATGACAGTCGCTCATGAGTTTACCAACCTGAACCATACGATGACTCAGCGTAACTTTCAAACGCCGACGACACTTTCAAACGTCATGACACTTGACATCGCTCAACAAACATCAACCCACCACACGAGACCACTTTACCAAAACTAATTTGATACATACCTGATACACACATCTCAATTATTGAAACACGCATATTCATAAGCAACTGGATTAGCTCCTATAAACTTAGATGGATTTCAGCTAAGCATGATTTGGCACAGAGAACCGTTTATGAAATACTCGACAGATGATTTCCCAGCCTGTTCTAACTTACTGATGTCGACCACGCCTACCATGGATTCGTTCTGGGATACGTTCTCGCAATCGAACTTGGTATAAAGTAACCTTTCACTGGCATTCGTCGAAACAGATTTTCTACTTATTTTTCTACCCGCAGGTGGTGGCCTCTTGGAACAGGATGAATATATGTGAGAATTAACGTGCATTTCCACCGAAGTGGTCAGCTGGATAACTAATTAACCAGCGTGACCGATACCAACTCAATTACACATCCTGATTGACTTATGGTGCCCGTCTTTATTGGTTTGTCGACTCTGAAATTGCTCGCTACATACTCGACGTGGCGTCTTGAGTCCCAAGTTGTTTTAACTGCGATGTAGATTTCCGGTGGACTGCTTTCTGCTCCTCTGACCTAGCGCTTGAACCAAGGACAGCATTTGAACAAAGCTGTGTAATGATGCATTGTCAACATACGCCACATTTTCGTACAGTTTTCTGTTCTCATGCGAACAGACAACAAAGCAACCGGTTCAAACGCATGGTTTCCAGTCTATCGTAAAGTTTATTTTCCCAACTCTCATGACAGATGCACTGCATTGCTTGCTTCCCTGAGCAGCGTGGTGTCCTCTGGTCACTGAAGTAACTCTAAGTGGACTATCGTGTATTCACGGACCATGAGATGCGGCGCAAAATGCAAATGAGCAAGCTTGATTCTAGCTTTTACGATTCGCGCACTGACTCCACCAGGCATGCTTCTGTCAGAGCTCGTGTGACTTCCAAGCCATGCAAAACTCCCCACAACATACAGTGTTTTCTCTTAAATTGCAGGAAGCCCACTGAGAGAGTGCAAGTTGTAAAGCATGACTTTGTAATCTGAAGTTAGAAGACACATGGTAAACGATGGTATTATAGTGGTCAACAAGGCATTTAGTTTAGCTTTGTCTTCGAACATGAGGACATTGAGGGCAAGGCACACCAAGATTTTTGGTCCCTGTACGTCTCATCTTGCTCTAACACCTTACAAGGTGGAGTTGTGATCACCTCAGCCTCCACCAAGTCGATATCCGAATTGATGCCCACGGGTTTTGTATGCCGCATTAAGATGACACATAATCACTGGTGCCGGAAGTCGTTTTACAAAGGGGGTCAATCTGGCATCCCTGTGATCTCTACTCCCACTGCGCCTCCCCCTTTTGAAATTGGCCAATACTATCGATTGAACCCAATTATCTGGGATAACCTTATCCAAGATGGACTCAAATGGTCTACGCAAGTGTAGAATTCACCGCCGTAGGTCATCGGGAAAAGAATCACAATTAGCTTTTCTCCAAAGGATTGGAGGTAAGAGTTGTAAAACTGAATTGTTGTTCTTCTAAAGATTATGTCAAAAGATCTTAACGCTCTTCTCTGGAGGTCAGAAGGCCAGTTTGATTTCTGATAGTTTCGTTGACAAGAGCTATCTGGCAAATGGTCGACCGAATCTAATAGAACCTGCAAAAATTTCCTGTATTATTCGAGTCTTTTATTTCTCCAGCATACTGAACCAGCCAAGCTTACCGGTCTACATGAACACTCGTTTTTCATGAGATCTGATGATGGACAGAGTTGAGTTGTGGGTACGACCAGGAGGAATCTGTGACCGACCCTCCAGCAAGGCCAAATTTTTATAAGAGACTCAGTGCCCAAACAGGTTGTGCCGCAGAGTGTGGATCCAGCGTTATATGGAGCTTTGGACGTCTGTCTCTAACGGTCATGAATGACTTGACAGGACCGTAACTAGGCCTGTGATGTGTGATGTTTTCTCTTTCAGTTTTATCGCTGTCTCGGTTTTTACAGGTTTCCTCAGTCAGTCATTCTGTTTCAAAGGGAGTTAAGAAGAGTTAAGAGAGTTTGAATGTGGTATCCTTTTGGTTCACAATGAATGGTCTTTTTCACTCAGGTCTCTAAAATTTGTGAATTACGGCAAAAACACCAGTTGGGTACTGCTGTACCCGCGAGGAAGCATAAAACGAATGTCGCTTCAGAAAAGCTCGATGTAAATGAGAGGCTGTAGTTTATTTACGGTGGTCCGAATCATCTTCGGTCGAATGTGCACTCTAGCGCATCAGAAAAGCTGTCATGTTGTGCGAAAAGTATCAAATGCGTAACGAATATGGTCCATGTCGACTATACCGGCGTTTATTAGCAGCTGAATTAGTGGATTATCGGTAATTTGATATAAATGGGGCATAAATACGCTTATCCGCACTGTATAATGGAACATCATTTAATATCTCAATGTGTCGAACGTAATTGGTCATTATTCACAAAGTATTCAGCCACCGTACTCCATTTCTCGAAATAGAGCTTCCTTAGGCGATCACCACAATACGTCTGACATTGTTGTCGTGATGGCAATATGTCCTGTTCTTTTTTTGCACCAATACACTGCCGATAGTGAATATTAAAAAAATAGGAGTGCTGGTTAGTGACAGTGTACTCACCCGAATCCCGTTCACCACTATCATTTTTCAAGTGATTTATACTGCAGTTCATCACCTTCGTTCTGTATATTGCATCACACTCATCTGACTTTCCCCTGAAAATTAGTGTGCATTTGATTGAACGAGCTTGAACTAATGTATGTGGCGCTTGCCACTTGAGGTCAGATGCCCGATGGTAAGTCAGTCATTCAAAGCGGTTCAGAAAATACTGCCTCTGAGTTTTTATTCCGTTTATTGCAAATTAAAGTATGTATGGCAATGAACTGAAAGCACGGATACTCTTCAAACCAGATTAATAGACGTATTGTTCAGAGGATATGATCAATAACGCTATGTTAACGAGTTATATGTGGATAGATGTCAGGAATATGTAAAACGGTTTGGTTCAAAATACTGTGCTCAAGGTACAAGCATGAAGGTTCCAGGTTAAATAGCACGTGTCATTGAACTATCAATGTGCCACAAAATATCGTATGAACACAAATTACAACCTCGACAAAAATCAGCAACTGTAATCCATATTGTCACTGTGTCATTTGGACACGACTCTTGTGAGTTAGCAATGTTAGTGAGGATGCTGGTGTTTGAAACCGACCGAAAGAAAACTTGCCTGCGATTGAACGCGTAAGATGGGCGGTCACGCTTTCCACGGGGGGGGTGACCTATAGTCATCTAAGCAACCAGAAAAGTTGCGTTAGAAGAACCAAAATTATGCTGTGCATGGCTGTTCGGCTGCTCACTCCTGCAAGAAAGAAAATGATCAAACATGATGTTAGCGATTTCGTGAATCTCAACGTGCAAGTAAATGCGTAACGAATAACCAAAGAAAACCTAGCCGTTTGATTCCACTTTCTTCCAGGGATGGAAGCATTATGCAGATGGTGAAAACGGCGCCTCGTGGATAACAGTGCTCAGTAGTTACAAAAACGGATATTCGGCTTGGATAATAGGTGTAAGGTAAGCATCTCGGAGACCACCCATCATGCATGTGAAGAATGTTTTTCCCTGGGTGTTCAACCGTCCAACATACCGGAAATTCTGCACCGGGTAAAGATTTTGGCCATTTGGTACCACAAGCCAAATAACTATCTGGAAAAGTGAAGTAGTCACCAACATGGCTTTACCAACATAGGTTAGTTCAATTGCACTGCACATTCACAGAACCACTCATCCACATTTTTGTGCCCGTTGTATCTCGTTGACCTTGATTTGTTTGTCATCTAGACAGACGAGCATTTCCACCCGGTGTGTTTTGACTTTCACTTACACATTACATTTGGCAGCAACCACAAAATTAGATCTGGCGTTCAAAGTTTTTTGAGGTCCAAAGATTTGGTTGATTTAACGGACGTGCGTTATGGATACAGACGAGTGAATAAGAAGCCAAGTAACACCTGTTCTTATTTCATCCAAAAACGTTCTTCAAGTTACGTTCGTATCGCACTACTCATAAGGTTGCTGACAGCCCACGACTGGTTTCGCCCTTCTTGGGGCTCATCAGAGAGGTACAGTCCCCGAGTTTCCGTCAACCTTATGTTCTACTTGAAACAGCATAAACGAGAGATTAGCTGGGTTCCAGATGAGTCTCTTGAAAAACCAAACAAGTTTGTAAATGAGTGTATTTCTTTTCTTCAAGTTTCCAACGAAGGTTCCCTCTCTTTTAAGTACATCCTTTGGCTAAATCTGGTCGGAAACCCCAACAGGAGTAGCAAGGATACCAAACCCGAATAACTTTAGGTTGACAACTCTTTTGTTGGCTGCGGACCTTTTATAAAATCTGCATTAGGAGGGGCTACGGGACAATCGAGCAAGACTTCTAAGGCAGGTGCGGAGAAGTTAGCAAGAACGGAAACAACGGTTTCTTAAAATGCAAATTTATTGATCACAGGCACCACGTGAGGGCACCTAGCCAGCGGAAAGTACACTCCGTGGACAACATTAGGACATGACTATCGAAATTGGGGCTCGCCTCTTAAAGTGAATTTCTGTACAACTATCCTGCAACATCAAATTACGATGCAGACCGATCTGACGCACGGTGACACGAAAGTATTCTATCTGGATTAGGTGGGTCCAACACTACAGCAAACAAACAGTACTCAAACCGATTGTCTCGGTAGGACTCGCTGTTCATACCTCTGCTACATCGGCCGCCCCTGTCCGCATAACTGACACCTGAAACGAGATACGGTGCTACCAGATCAGGCTGTTCAATTGATGGTCGAATCGTACGCTAAGAGTGGCAAATTTTGTTACAACCCCCCTGATACCAGTTGAGGTGGCATCACCCATTTACTCTTGTCAAGCGTCGTAGAGAAAACTGTGCAAAGCTGATCGTCGAACAGGTAATGCTCCTGTTCTGTGAAACGATGTTCCATTGATCGTATAGTCAGGCACTAAATCGTATGTAAATATAACACTTTGAACAAGGTGATGAGTCAGATATTATTAGTGCTAAAAATGGTTTTCTAGTGAAAATAAACGACGAATCCATAGAAACAAAGAAAGAAAGAAAGCACTACAGGCACCGATGTCTGCTGTTTCCGTACCCAGGGAATGCTGGAGAGTAGCATTTCTTTACATTTACATGTTTGTATGAATGAAACGCACCGCTTGCTTCATCGACTGCAGATAACTAAAAGAATACGCTAATTTATTACCTCCCCTTACAACTACCTCAAATCGCACCGCAAAATGGATATAAGTGATTACAACAATTCACGTGCACATAAATCTTCCTCTTCTCAAGGTGTCATATCAAAGGTTACCGAACATACGCAACATATCCAAGATACACGTGGCTTTTGTTCCAGTTGCAAGGAGTAGAGGACAGATTTGTGTACCGTTGGTATGAGTATAGCAGCAGGCTTGAAATCGCCAATTTACATTTAGATCTAGTCAATGTGTATGATGAGGTCGATATGAAAACGAACACTACAGAACAAACACAGCCTAATTCAAGAGGTGAACGGGTGCATGCATCCACCAAGACTGTTTAAAAAATTAACTATTTCTGTCGTCTTGATTGGAAACACTCTATGGTGCATCGCCACTCCAGAAATAAACAAGAAGAATTTTTGCCAAATGCAGTCATTTGTAAACAGATTTGGTTTTTACGGGAGACTCACCTGGAATCTAGCTGAATCTCTCGTTTGTGATGTTCCCAGGCAACTGAATATGCTGCCCCAGGCTGCCCCATGGACACACGGCAAACGAGAGATTCAGCTGGGGTCCAGGTGAGTCTCTCGCAAGACCACATTAGTTTGCAAATGAGTGTATCTCGCTAATTTCGTGCAATTTGGTTTCAAGTAGAATATAAGGTTCACGGAAACTCGAGGACTGCACCCACCTGATGAGCCCCAAGGGCGAAAACGGTTGTGGGCTGTCGACGAACTGACGGTTAAATGGTTTCTTGGTTGCCCCAAGATGGGCGGAACCGGTCGCGATTTGCCGAAGAATTTTTAGCAACCTTATGAGTAGCGCATTACGTAAAAATAGTTTTCGTTTCATTCGTAACGCAGTCGGTCAAACATCCGACGGCGTTTTCGTTCTACTCATCCCTGATGAGCTGGAATGTATTATTTTGCCAACAGATGTGTGCGAATTACAACATATATCCATTTCTGAAGCCGATTTTCTCGAAAGTATTTCTTCCATCTTGTGCACTTTAGTCGTTCCAACATTGAAAGCCCAAGAATTATTTCCGCAGTTCCCTACAAAACACTTTAAACTGAGCAAGTCGAACCAAATAGCATTCAGCACCAGCTCGCTATCGACCACCCAACAGTAGGCTGCCTTATGATCTGTTTCACTGTAAACTTGCTCGTGATTAAAGACGCGTATAAAACGGACCTTTGAACCATTTCTACGTGCAAACTGAATGCACTTTCAACTTGGCAATGTTAACACTGGTAACAATAAATGATTCCCGTCCGTCAACTTTTTTAAGTAAACGTATAATTATGTAGAAATTTTAGGCAGAGAACATGACGCACAGTGACACAACGGGATGTTTTGTTATAACTAGAGAAAATCTGTTTCAATGTGAGACAACGTACCGACTGTCCATGGAATGCTATACGTATATAGGCATTGAGGATGCCCTCCCGTTCCAACAACAGTCATCGCAGCTCCAGAGGATTCGCACTTAAATTTCCCAGTTACCTCTCCTGTAAATATCACCTTTCCAGTTTCGCCTTCACCGTCGTAGCACGTCATGTTTATGCCGCTGCAGGCGCCGGGAGATTGCTAACATGAGTAAAAAAAGATGTATGGGTCCATCAGTAGAACCCGTTTTTTCCACAATTTACTACACATTTCCCTTAACTTGAGAATTGCTGGAATATTTCAAAAAGTATACAGTTGGGTGCAGATCCAAAAAACGCCAGCTAAGAGGCGCCAATAGGAAATCACTCTGTTCTTCACTGACTTTTTTTAACAAGCTTAGTATAAAATATCGGAAAATCATCAACCAGCTTAGCCTAACAAATGCTCAGTGGATAGGTTATGTTGAATGCTACCATTCTTAAAGCAATGACTAAGACGGGCGTGGCTTCCAATTTCGTTACATACGTTACGTGGCTTCTCAGTCTAGCCACGAGTTAGTCATCTGCACTATTTTTAAGCTACTAAGTACCACGTCTTTGCCAGTGACAACTGTGTCGTGGATTGTTTCAAGCGCATCCACTTTGGGTGACGCACTGGTACAGTCAAAGTTACAACACGTCACAGACATGCAAATGGTGACAAACTGGATAAAGTAAAGGATATTTTAGTTATTTCTGTGAATCTTTCCTAATATTTTTCTGTCGCTTTATTACCACATGACGTATTTGGGTACCCAAAATTTGATTGGAAAGTCAAACGTTTTAGTTTCGATTCGGGGGTTCGTCAACAGTAGTAGTAGCTTGTATAAAAATACTAAGGAAGTCTAGCCTGATTAACCGACCCTAAGTGCTAAAACTTAGGTATTCAGGATTGGGGATGCACCAATGTGCTACCGCATAATAGTGGTTACTGGTTAGGCCAGCCTCTTTCTTAACAACAACCCAAAACACTTTGGAAGAGGAACCAAAATCTCCTGGTCTACATTCAGACCAAGATCATTTTGTTGACCTGAATTTACTGATTAACCGGTCTTGATCACTTGTGCACCCTACGGCTGCGGTTCTGGCAATAGGCTTCCAGCCATGCATCACTAAAAGATACCAGGTAGTAAAAACTGGGAACAGATCCCGGATCATCCACCTTTTGCCGGGTCATTTAGCGAACCTGGTGAAGGTATAAAAAAAGTCGGAGAGTGAAACCGAACAAGAAATATGTTCACTGAGTTGTAGTGGCTTGACAGAGGAAATACTTTTATTTGAATAGCTACTGTTCACACGGAACGAACCGGCAAGATTTGTCGGGAATAAGAAATAATTATCGATCAAGCTATTTATGAATGAATCTTATTATCCAAACCTAATAATCTGTACTTCCTCAGGGAATCACTGGACACTTCCGACCACTTTATCCTGTGACCAGCCATTTAATGATGTTGCTTTGCGCTTTGAGTTTCCGAGCAAGGAGTGTCATTTCATTACTAACTCGCCAGGAAATATGAACTCTGAAAAAACATAACATATGCACCTGTCATTATCTGTTTAGGTCATACAAAATACAAATGTGTGAAAAAAATTCGCTGGCTTACCGGTTTTAATTCACCAATCAACGTGAGGAAAGTTTTGGTGTCTGAGGTCCCACATTCTCGGAGTCCGGACTTCCACATGGGGTTCGTAAAAGCGAAATCTAAGGTACCATTTGAGATGGCACACAGAAACTTCAAAAAAGCAAAGCTTTATAAGCATTTTGCAGCCAAAAATTTCAATTTAGTAAGCTAAACGATATCTCTTTACTTTAAAGGAAACCCATTTTCCGCCTCAGTAAATGTTTCAGCCAAAAAGCTACACCTTACAATGTTCACAAACATGTCGGTAGGGTGATACCTCAATGGTTTATTGGATTCCAGCTGGATTTCTGTAAGGTCGACCCATAGTCGATCTACACCCGCACATCCGACTTAATGTAGATTTTTTGGCATCTTGTGGGTAAAGTAACGCATCAGCCTTTAATTGATCTACGCCTCGAGGTTAGAGGAACTATCTCTCGCGTGGCCACGTGACTAAGTGACACTGGGAAAAACTGAGAAACCATATCTTGAAACCTGCATACCAGAACTTCATAACAGCAACTGAGAAGTGGTGTGCGCATTAGGCTGATTTGAAAATGTCGGCACAGAATCGAAGTCCCCATCTGGTATCGTGTTCTACGACACTGATCCTCTGAAGGTCTGGTGCAATTTTGTTATGTCAAAATGTGTGCTCATTTATTGCGTTCCTTGTTGTGCACCAATGCAAGGCTCGAAAGATGCTCATCTCAAACGTTTTAATGAAGATTACTATGCATTCTCTTGCTGTGCCACCAAACTGTACCTTCCCAATTGGTATCACGTCACAAAGAAACCAAATTGAAAGCGATGCAGTGAAAGCTGAATGGACGAACGCGGCAGACGCCCCAGATGTAGTCTCCAATCCTCCAAAAACCTACACGAATTTTCATTGTCAAACTTTGCAGTCCTTCCTGGAGTAGTTCCGCTGGACCGTGTTGCACTTCTACCGGTGAAAGGAGGAAACATCCAAAGTCGTCTATTAGCAAACACCAACTAAGCAGTTACAAGCTATTGGACAGGAAAGTAAGCGTTTCAGGTGCACGTAGTTAATGAAAACTGAATATTCTCACTCTCTAACTTTCATGGATATTCAATGATTACCCCACAACTTTAAACGAACATTAGAAAGTACTTCCACAAGTTCCGTAATAAACTCCACCGTCTAGTAGACGTGGGACGGCGCTTCAACACGACGACAGACTACTCGCATTTCTCATCAGTACTATTCGCCTTTACACTTGTACCTAAGCACTAACGTAATCTTCGGTACGGCAGATAAAAGATCGGTTTAGGCAAAAAAATTCCTGGAATCATATAGTGATGGAAACGTAGGCTATATGCTGTGGTTCCTTTCTTAAACTTTTGGAGTTGAACCGTGTCAACCACCGTGCTTTTTCTGCATATGTATGTCGCAGCAAGGCAAGGCAGATTGTTACCAACTTGACGCTGTCATCATCATCATCATCATCATCATCATCATCATCATCATCATCATCATTGTCGGCTGTAATAACCGCGTACTCGTCGTACATTGATTGTAGCTGTCACAGTTTCGTTCACAGATGATTTGGGGGGATAGGTAGCTGCGCATTGAAGGCAGGAGCTGATAAATTGGTGCATAAATCCAGCACTGTCAGTGGGCTGTCAAGTGAGGGGATTCGAAAGGCAATAGCTTGGATGCACGAGCGCCATTGAGGGCGCAACTGGGCCATATCTGACAATGTCTCTAACCATTGATATGGCTCGCCTTAGGGTCACCATCTAAGAAGACGGCAACTGCCAGCGCAGCTGAGTTTGCTGGTAATGACTTTCACACTTCGCTGCCAGGTCATTGTTTGACCGCCTCTGGCTCGTTTCCACCCTTCACGTGGTTGTTCGGAAACAGCCCTTCGAGGAAGCCGATCGACTGGCCAAGCCAGCGCAACCTATGCAGTGTGATCAGTTCATTTATCGGGGGTGAGTTATTCCTCCCGAACATCATTCGACGAACTTCAGCATTGATGATCCGGTGTTCCCACCAGATTCGAGCAATGTTCCGAAGACATCGATGGTCAAACGTTGAAAGTCTTTTGACGTCCTCAGCGCGAAGCCGCCAGGTTTCTGACCCATATGGTGATATGGAGCGCACCGCAGCATTGTAAACTCGAGCACTGACGCTGTCAGACCTGTTTAAGCGTGGGCTAATGTCGTTTCAACACAGCGGGACTGTAAGATAGATATGCTGCTGACCTTGGCCAAATGGTCATCAGTTGATAGGTACCATGCTATAATTGTGTTCAGTTCACCTTGTTCGCTGAAATGCATCCGAGTAATCTGAGAATGTTAGTCCTCTGGTTCGAGTTTTCAGCTGTCTAGTGGTTTGACCAATGTAATTACTATCACTTTTCCAAGTCAGTCATGCAAGTGCAGTGACTATATTCTCAAGTTTACTCGTAAACATCTGCAGATTGTCTTATTTGTTGGAGAATGCGTGCGGCTTTCAGTGTTTGGCAATACATGACAAATACTTCTGGATGTGTTCTTTTGGTAGGCAGTTATCATCATACCTGCTTAGCCAGCTTTTGTTTCGGTTGCTCCATCTAGTCCCGGCGGTTGAGTCACGTGGTCGCTACTCTATGCAAGATACAAGTTATTTTGAGGATCTGATTTTGGTCTCACCTGATTATGACTCGCCGTATGACCATTTCATCTGTCGGAATATTTTGCGAATCAGCACACCTTCAATACACACAATGCACAGAAGCAGAAATCAAGAGAGATTCTACTTGGGTTGCCATCCGACAGGCCGCAATAGGTGTTACAATCAAAGGGGTCCGTCATTCAGTCAGACGTCTCGTGCACTACTGTGAATTTTAATGAGTTACATGAATGATAAATATCCAAGAGTCAGACGGCGCTATGTTCCCACCCATCTGGATTGGCACAGGTCAAACACAAAATTTGGCATGTGACTCTACAACTTAGAATCGTGTCAGAGAATGGTGACACACACAAGCGATAGCATGAGTCGGAGTTCTGCGTATCATCACCCTTTCGGCAGCACGCCTACAGCGGCTCACCATCCCTCTAGTTACGTTTTATTTTCAAAGCTGGAAAAAGACCGTCCTTGATGGTCGAAGCTTTAGAATGTTTCAATTAACTTGCTTAGCAAAACCAGGCTTTTTCACTAAGAAGCAACAAGTGTCACCCAGCCTTAGCATTCTTGTCCTTATTTGACGTGCAGCACCAGATGGAACAAATTAGTGTTACATATCATCCGTATTTAGGACCCAACGGAATCTATATTCGAAAGTCAGGTGCAACGGCTACTTTAAAAGAAGTGGCAATGGGGTGATGGTGTAAATCTTGATGGGCGAGTGATCACAGAGGATGGAATAGGAGTTGCACACGTAACAGTTTTGGACAGACGTCCCGAATCCATTCAAATTTAGAGCTAGACCAAGTTACTCTACATCCCAGGCCAATTTGTACTTTTGTACAGTCGTCGCAGGTGGTAGAGTAGTAGCTCAATTTCGATTCAGAGTTTTGATTACTGTACTGCAAACTGAATTTTTGTTGCATGTTTGGAATGACCAGATAATTTATACTAGTATGAACCGAAGACCGCGTTTTCAAAGTATTCTGTTTGGCTTTAGGAGATACAGTAAAGAATTCAACGACTTAGGCACTGAATTTGCATCGGCACTGCTTTCAGTTTTCTTCTACTAACACTGGACAACTGAAACGGAACACGTGGGATTGACGTAGCGTCATTATTTTTTCGATAGAATAGTGTAAATTCGGCTGGTTAGGCGAATTGACTGCACCGAATTTTCAGTTTACTAGAAAACTGACAACAACTGAGAAAGGCATCAACTTTGTGCAGAGCCTTTAACCATAAGCACCATGGGGAGTTACTAATTTCTAAAAGACTTATTCTAAACCCTTTCTTTCGTTAGTCTTAACTGAAACTCAAAATTGCTGAGAGTATGTATGTTTGGAAAGCAGGATGCTAAAAACTGAGACTGTGAACTCCCTGATAGTCTAGAAGTTTGTGTGGATTGTAACATCTGATTACGTGCAGATGCTTTGACTGTCTTATCTGCTAAGTAAAATATGAGCTAGCACTTTTGCTCTCTTAAGATGAAGAAAACGTTTGTTTAACAGTCGCGTGTTGATTGCGGATCTTTTGCATTTAAGTAGAGCAACATATTCAAGTGGAAACACCTTCGAACATACCTACACTTTGAATTGTACCAAAGGGTTCAAGGTACATAACTTACCTCGTTTGGCTTGTGAGTCTACATTCGGATAACCAGGAGGTTTTACGTAACCAAGCGAAAGGTGAAATTCCATCAATGACCAAACTATATAGCAGTTATACAAATACATGTACATATGGGTTATTCCGTATACTATGGATCGTGGTGTATGGTTTCGGTAGATGTTACCGTTATTCAGTAGTATTACCATTTCCTCTCAAACTTTTAACTGAGTTCGTGAATTCCGAGTTTCGGTTAATCTCAGCAGAACGATCACATGTCTAAAAGCATCTGGCGGTCTCGTTTGCACCTTAATTTAATGCGTTACAGTGAAAAATTATTATACCCTCGGGGATTTCTGAGTCCTTATTCTATGGCAACATATAGGATAATATCGAAAGCAATGAACCGTACAAACTCAAATTTGCCGACTGATACACATTCATGAGTGTTTCAGTCATCTAAAACGGTTACTTTGTACACTCATTTCAGATCAGAACGAATATAGATATCCAAATTTATGTAGTAATCGCACAACAGGATTTGGGTGGCTGAAAGGATCATTTTCCTATCCTATTCCACGATCCTCATTTCGACCACTGCAAGCATACCGATTACACGTATGCTTACCAAGGTTTCCGATTATCGTAACTGTCATTCTGAATGCAGCCCAACGTTGAGGGAGGATGAAATATTTAACCGCTGGTCGCTGGTTTGAAACTCTGTGAATTTCGTGAGTAGCACAATGCTGGTTACCCTTAAGAATGATGGAATACCTGTACAGTACTTTTCGGCTTTTAAGCACAGACTGACTTCACCAATAGGAAGAAATCCTAGTTGGAAACTAACGAAACCCATCGGGCAACCATTGTTATAGCGGCGCAGAGTTACATTATTATGAGATCAGATGAACCGTCTCACCGGATTGAAAATACCTTTCACAATCATCCTCATAGATAAAAACCCCCAGGCTTGAGACGTCTCACGCACTGTCGGATAAAACAGGAGCTTTTTCCTAAATGCAAATGAAAGACTGAAGCATTGAACAGAATACTATGGGTGAAAAATTTTTGTACCAAGACTGTCAATCCGGCAGCTACATTTCTACAGTCCCGCAGTTTTCTAACGTCACGACGATGGATTCTACTGACGGCGTTTTTGTCGTACTTCGTGCAAAATCATGCGAATGAAGATGGATTATCAAAGGTCTATTTCATATGTGAACTAATCTACCGCTGCTCTGTGCTGGCATAATATATTTCTAAATAGTTCGGATGATAAAACTGCATGAAATAATTCTCTTACGTAGAGTGGACTTGTCAAATTTATCAGACGTTCCTCCTGAAAGAAAGGTGGCAGTAGAACAAAACTTAATTCAACAGTTGGGTTCATATATTGTTTAAAACGGAGATTCCAAACGGACAATGAGTCGGTCAACAATATTTCGACATTTCAGGTCATGGAGCAAAAGCCCACTGAAGCTAACAGTCCAACACATAAAACCCACCACAGTGAAATTCTTCTTCTCTTCTCCAGCAAAATTAATATGTTCAGTAACTTTTGAGGATATTTTTAGGAAGAACTGCTTCAATCAAACATAAATGCAAGTGGTATTAGATACCAATAAACTCTTCATATTGGTACAGGAAGAAAATTACTTACGTTCGTTCAGCTGGGACCGCGCTTCCCTGGCATATTTCACATCATGTTCGTTTTTTGGTCTCTGGATTTGAAAGACATATTCTGTCTAAGCGACATTCTAATAAAGCTTAGTTAAAGCACGGCCAGTATAATCCGGCTTCTGGTACATATAAGCAATCCACACCTGAACAAACTTCTCAGCCTAAGGTCACGTAAAAGCTTTCCACGTTCAGCAAGTGACAGTCGAGATATGCCATCCGTGGAACGATTTCTACGATTTTTACCCCAAATTCGAACGTTATCTCATTTTAACGACCGTAATGCAGTAGCCAACAAGATGGATTCAAAGGAACCTTAATAGCCACTACCCACTGATAAGATAGACATTATTCAAAATCCACCCGCTTTCCGAATTTAGTTGCCAGCTGCCTGCTCAAGTGTTCTCAAGCCTCATTAGAATAAGTTTTGCCTTTTTGACTTTTTGCTGATGCTGATGAACAAATTTACTCATTTTACAAACACATTAAAACAAAACAATCTCCACGAGTTTAAAATGAGCTCATGTGAACCACGTTGTCTCTCCGAAGTATTGTACGTGCATACCAATATTACACATGAAATACATTGTAGAAAGAATAAGATGGCTGGGTTCTTGTTTAATTTCGTTAAAAAACACACCCATAATATTCACACACGTGAATAATTTATCAAAAATATGATGTGGTACGTATTTATTCACTCTTTACTATCCGTCACAAGTTTGGTAATCGGGTGAACAGGGTAGTATCATGCCGAGGTTACTTTTGACCTTTCTTTCTACGTGTGGGTCAATAATACCAGATATCGTTCCCTACCAAATGCTATTAAGCGGCGCTTCATAACCATTGCTTTACGTTCCACTTTGGTAGCCCGTTTGCGGTCTTTTGGCAATAAACGGACGTGGATCATCTGAATCAAACATAATGAAATTCTATCCCAATCCTGGTGCCGACCGCTATACAGCAGTGACCATTTTATTCTGCTTCGTAGGCAGATTTCACTGTCTGTAAGCCGTCTTAGAGTCACAAAATCCGTTCAGATTTGGGGTCTGTACGAACTTCGCTTTACCTGTGAAACGTTCCCTTGACGCACATTCCCGAATAATGATAAACACCCAAGTCTCTTCACTTTCTTTGTAATTTTGATTGTTTTGAGGCCTACCGCAATCACGGGTGATATGTATTTTTGTTTAGGGATAGATATTGTTCATCAGTGTCGGTATGTAGCGGATATGTTTGGAAAATAAGTCTTGAGAACGATCACGGCTCTCGGTCTTGTGCTTTGTGGTATTGACTATTTTGTTCCAACTTTAAAGCACAGTTGGTTTATTGCCACGATTTACGCCAGAACCGAAAAAAAAAACACAAAAAGGAGCATTAAACAACTTCGAGAAATAAGCAATAGTTGCTCCAAATTTAGTTGTTTTGCACCACCAGCAGCCTGTGAGTTTTCAAATTATCGATACAGGATTATATTCTATGACCAGTACAAACAAGAAAACGTCATTCCTTTTGGATGCTGTATGCCAGAGTTTTCACCAGCGTCCCTTTCAACGTGAGAAACTTCCATCTAAAGTCCTCCTCAAGAAGTGTCTTTGTGCTATCCTCACTTTGAGAGAATTTAATTAGATTTGCTGAGGCGAGAAAGTGCTAAATGCAATGAAGCGAGATCTGGTGAATAATCCGTTTCAATGAACGTAAGAGAGGGAGATGCAGATTAAACCCATGTCTTATCATCGGCATGGATGTGTGGAATTTATCTGGTATCATGAGGTGCTCATACGGCGGGCAAAGATAAGGTGGTCCTTTTCATTTCACTAAATGGCATTTTCAAGACCAAAAATGGGTGTTCCGAAATTCCAGCAAAAGCCTTTCATAGGACTTCATTTTCACCAAACTCACCACTGAAATGTATCCTTCCAAATGTGCCTCATTTCCATCCGACACAATTCTCAGAACATAAGTTGTCGTTACATTGACCAGATCCTGCTGACCTGAAAACAATCACGGTAAGAGATGAGATGAAAGAATCCTAAAGCACGATGCTCTATATCATTAAATGGGCTATTCAGCAAAATTAGGCCACCCAAGTCTGTTGTGAGCTCACACGTATTTCGCTATATAAAATAACTTCCCGAAGAAGTGTTTTAACAGGTTTCATACCATAAACTAGATAGCAATGCATCAGCATCACCATCAAAAAAATGGCGCGTAACATTTCTTCAATCTCCTAAGCAATAAACGTTTCTCTAGTGAGTGTCTGTTGTTATTTATAAACTGAAGTTAAAGTAGTTTGATTTGTTCAGCCTGTCTGCTGCACGTGTCTACCTTGGTACCTCAAATGTGTAATGAAAGAAACAAGATGCCTAGTTTTAAGCTCTTCAATAAAACACATCGCGGGAAGCTCACGACAGACCAAATGTTCAGTTAAACTGTTTTACTTAATGATTTCGACTTTTTAAAATTAAGTCTTCTTAAGTGCGATCTACCGTAAGAACCCCATCAACGAATCTCTGGCTATACACATGCAAGTTTACTTCAGTCTGGTAGATTGCTTCTTAGAACTCTTCAACAATACGTCGGTGAGATCGGTCGAGCAAGCACAAAATATTCCTACAAAAATGTGACCTCCACTTAAACAATCCCTTGAGCTCACTCTCTTTCAATATTCGGTGAGCTTACCCCATCAAAATTACAAACGACCGTGTCAGTAGGCTGACAGATTACTGTAAGTAGTTTGTTGTGCACCTTCAGAACTAACCTACTTCCCTTTAGAGTGAACCGTGGTAGTATACTAAAGCAAACTGCAAACTGGATAAGCGGACAAAGGACAACAAGCTCAGCTTATGGATACTGTAGTGAAGAGTCGTTTGTACCAGCAGTCTGGAAAGTTCAATCATTTTTGAATCGAACTCACCAGCGTAAACAAGGAAGGGGCGCATAGGATCTCGACGACCCGTTTTCAGTGGGTGTATTAAAACGTTGAACTGCGCGCATTCCCTCTCGAGTCCGTGAGAAAAGTCAGCTTAGCTGCAAAAAGCCCATCGTGAGAAGGCGGTTTAGATCCCAGTCGAGCGACAACGAATTTCATCTGAACCAAGCCTGGGAGGCTTAATGAATCTTTGTTACTCTGGCCCATAGTTTTGATTGAACAGTTTGCGAGATAAATAACACGACAGACGAAACAAAATGATGGACACTGATGCTTCAGTTAAAAAGCGCTACGAACCGAATAAGTAATCATCCAACCTTCAAGTCCCTGACCACGCCAGTTCTTTCTCACCATTATTCAGATCATATTATGCTATCTTCGAATTCTTGCCCTATCGCCTTTGAATCAGTGTTACTCAAACAGATAAGTAGGTAGGCTAATACACTGTTGGAAAAAACGTGGGATGTTACAAAATGTTTGTGAAATGTAAAATGGTCGTCAATCACCAAACCGTTAAAGAGACAGATCCTGCTACTGACATCCAAAAAGTGCTCTCGAGACAATCATTAATGAGAGAAAGACAGAAGAGGGATTACGCCGCTTAATGCGGCCAGGCTGCTACTCGACTGTGTTGTAGGCTAGTCTGCAGCAGTGGTTGGATCGTGCCTTGCCTTGTCGCGTCAACGATTGCTGTCGAACCAATTCGCCGAGGGTATGCAACTGGCGCATGCGGAGAGCGACAGGACATTTGAAAGTGAAGGATCTGGTGCATCTGGCACGAGGAATGATCGAGGTGCCATCGGTCACAATTAACTTTCAGGAGGAGCGGACGACGAGTCACTATTGGAGGATCTGAGGAACAAAGTGGACCAACTAACCGCTATGAAGTAAGAAGCGCGAAGGCACGTTCAAACAAACAGATGCTACAACTATGGCACGCCTGGCTACTGGAACAGTGACAGTCACCTGGCCCAGCTATTTGTTAATATAGGTGTGGCTTCTTTGTATAGTCCCGGGTGGGTTGCGATTAGTACAGTGACCCGGGCTACAAAACAGGTCATAATTTTGGCGAACGGGATGTCACTGAAGCGGAGGGCACAAAGCTGGATTCAACCCGTGCGCGCTAGCGGTGAAGGGCGTGGATACTGACTGAAAATTGACTGGTTTTTATTGCGGTCGGTGCGCGTAGGTGACAAGTCGCTGCAGCACGAGTTCTGATCAACCTAGCGGACAAGTTTTCTCAAGAGTGAGGGGACCATGGTAGACGTAACTTGGGGTAAGCTGATGGCAATTAACGGCTTAGTCAAGCTTTAACCATTGGTTCTGTCTTGTAGTGTCCAGTCGATGCAGCCATTGGTCGAGGGATACATCAAGTTATTCACAGGTAATGATCTGTTTTACTTCTACCCGTGGATCAAACACGAAATCTTCCTATCTTCCGAACTATTTTGAACTTACGTCTTGATCAGATGTCACTTCATCTACGGGAGGAGATGGAAACAATTAAATCTGGCGATCCATCAGTGCGAACAATTTCAGGTGGTACTGGTCGAGAGAGTGAACGTGAAAAGCCGATTTCCCGCGGATTTCTGGTATTCGGATGAACTGATCCTAAATTGGATTGTAGCCTCCTCTTTGGTCGCGAAGATTTTTATTCGCTCCGGCAATCCCGATACTCCATATTGTGTGACGCGTTCTGGATGCTGGCAACCAACCATGAAGTCATTGGACCGGGGGAAACGGCGTTTACGCTTGGCTTCTAGGGTGCAGCGCTCACTTTTCAGCGCTTGATGCTCCGTCTAATGAAGAATGTTGCCTTGTACGGAGACAGTGCCGTCGTGTTCAGAGATTCGGAACCGGAGCATGCAATTCACCTAAAGGCCGTATTGAAGCGTATTCCGGAAGCCTGCTTGTGGATCAGAAAAGTTCGGTGACAATGTTCGGGAACGACTAGGCCACTGTCTGAAAAGCAAACATACAAAAATGTGCAGTCCCTAATTCAAAGCAGTTCTTATGGCCGATTGTCGGACGGGGAGTAAACTACAACCAACAGCAACCAACAGTGCAGCAACCCAAATGTTGCTGCACTGTACGACCATCAAAATGGAAAGTTTGAATGGAAAAGGGAACCACGCGGTTCCTTCAAACGTGTCAAAGCGTTGATGCCAGCACAACAACCCGCCCTCAAATTTCAAGTTCGGTAAGATATTTCCTGTCACAATGAATGTCGTCAGTGAATGTGCTGGTGCTGTCCGGACTAAGGTTGAGCGAATTTAATAAACCATAGAAAAGGGATGTTTGAGGACGACCAGGGTGCCACATTTGCCGAAACAAATGTTTCACCCTGAGGCCGACCACAAATTCCTTGAATAGATCGGGAGAAAAAGATATACTCGCAGAAAGCTCACACACTGGGCACTAGGACTACAAGAATATGACTTCGCGATCCGGCTCATCCCCGGGGAATGAAAACCATTCGGCCGACTAACTCTCAAGTCAACAGACTGAAGATGTAGCTCAAAAGATCATGATTGGTGCCAATATCTTCGTCTTAAAACTGGATCCCGGTTGCAGCCAACTTGTTTGATAGAAAAGGTACAGAGGATGCGGATGGAGATAAAGAACTGTAAATGTTCCGAGACTAGTTCGGTAGACCTTCTGAAGCCGACATATTATCCTGGAAGGTCAGAGACCCGGATGTCATACTGCACATGATATCTCCTGAATTGAGGCACAAATTAACTGCTGAATGCCACGAGATGACACATGAGTTACGCGATTTGCTCCGGCAGAGGATCCACTGACCAGGGATGAGGACCGATTTTATGGGGTATGTTGTACCTGTAAGCGTAGTGATCTTATGAAAGGGGATAACCAAGGGCAGATCATAACCCAAAACCTATTCCTGTATCAAAATCGGACAACTATTGTCCGATGGCATCATAAGGCACTTTCCGTGAGAGCTAATGTCAACTAGTAGATCTGGATAATTAGAGAACGCCTGTCGCGGTGGGTCAAGGCGACATCCGTGCCAAATCAGCAAGGACTACGGTCAACGAAGTGATAATGCGTCACATCGTGGTAAATCATTAGGTGAGAAAAATAGTTTTAATGGTCCATGGGCCGGTAATTGTGGGTGAGGCATTCAAGTGAAGCCACAATGACTTCGGTGATGGGAGTAGAAGGGCAGTAAGGCTTTTCCTCCAGGCGTCCAGCACCTCCAAATTTATGGAAGTGTCGGTGCTGTCTTTCACAGAGAAAGGACAGGTAGGAAAATGTCACCCTCAAAACCAGCGCGCTTCGGTCGCCCGAAGATGCAGAAACGCTTTCAAGACCAAATGATCCGGTGCCGCACAAAAGGCACCCGCAGTGCGCAGACGCATTAGGGGTAATACAGCTATGTCTAGCTCCCTGCGTCCTTGAGCCAGGCGAATCCGCTGCGGGCAATCAGGTCACACTATTGAGTCAATGGCTCCGGAATGGGACCTTAACAACTGCTGCCTTGTGATTCAGTGTTCTGACCTAAAGTGGGGTACCTTAACCACATCCCCTTCTTCGGATAGCGTAATCGCGAAATATCATTCACCCTTGCAGCTCATCACTCACCAACCTTGCGCTTCATTTCCATTGGTACGGAAAGCCTTAAGCCTATTACAATGTTTGTTCATTACTGTTTGATACTCAAACAATGTCCAGAACGGTTCACAAGAACGCTTGAGAACATTCATTTTTAGAAGCTCCATGCAAATGAGTTATATACTCTAATGTCTGGTAGCTTTTAACTGTTTAGTTCACGGTCGTCACCAGATAACTCCACGCCCTCTCCAGGAGGGAGGTCATTGGTCACTACTATTGGAGATTTATCGGTCGTTTCCTCCCTTTCCCCGAATTTCATCAACACTATTTTAATCTGTTATGGTACCTCAGAAAATGGTAGTGCAAATTCTGCCGGTTTCCATTGTTAGTCGGCGCTGTCTTATGGCATAAATACAGGCATGTCGAAGGATTGTGTAATCGCGTCGGAAATGATCCATCTTACTACCTGAACAATTACCAAATATTTATTCCAACTTGTCCCCAAGATTTTGTCAGTTTCTATCAGTGAAACAACCATACCATTTCAACGGCTTTACAGTTATCCCGAGGGCCTGGAGTAAGCATTGATGAAGCTGGGGTAGAATGTATTCGCACAAAAATAAACATATGCTCTAAATGATTCATATATTGATCAGTGCGATAGGTATCCAACTGGGAGAAGGGGGAAATGACGGTACATTTTTAGCACCATCAAGATAATGCTATTAGATGAAGCAAACCAAGATCGTACAATACCTTATCAAAAAGAAACAGGTTTGGAAATGGTCTACATTTACAACACGACTGGCACTATCAAATTGATGCACGAAAACTTATCCATCGATAAGGGAACCCATGGATCTGTTGATACTTAGATATGAAATCGAACAGTAGGATCGTAATCTGTACCAAAATAGTAAATTAATAACAACACTATTCCAAGCGGAATGAGTACACGTAATTGTGATTGCCAAGTCAGCATCTAAGTATCCGAGGTATTGGTAAAATGCGCCATAACTTGGCCGACACCCCAGCAAGATATCTTGAATGACTTCTTTAGGTCGGACTTTGGTCCGCATCACCGCTACAACATAAAGTAAGTAAACACAAACACCAGGTTGTTCCGAGGGAGCCTCGTGTAGCATATTACAAAAAGTTAAATAGCATGATGCGGTCCCGTCCAGATGGACGGGCAGTCCTTGGGGAGAACAGTCCATTTTCCGCAGGCCTGAAGATGAAATAATATTCAATAGCTTCCCGACTACTCGCGAGTAGCTTAATACTTTATTTTGCACGCAAATCCATCGCAATTTCCCGGCTATCGTCATCGTTAGGCCGTAAGTTCACCATTCACAATGGTCTCATAACCATAATTATGAGCCATAATTATGCGCCCGGTTGCACAAATATTTGTTTTTAGCGGGTTACTCACATTTAAAATGCTTCTTCAGCACATGAATGATGCAGGAATCAGCCAATGGCGGTGCATCCAGGCTACCAACCCATTGAGCCTCACC